GACCACCCTTTTGCCTGGTGTGCTTAAAAGCAGCTTGAAGGGGTCACAGCAAGTGCAACATTCAACTCACAATGTGTCAGAGCAGGCTCAGTCATATTGACTTTGTGCATTGTCTTATTCTTAAATGGTTTCCTTATTGAAATAGGTTTCAAACCAATATCTCCTTATTGGTTCATTTCAATAGCCATGTTGAAATAGACCAATAACTGTGTTGGTTTGTAAACCAATAAAGTTATTGATTTGTTTCAATAAAACTAGCATTTCAATATTGTGATCAAAAATCAATAACCTTATTAAATCTTTTCAACACGGCGCTCTCTGGGTGGGTCCACACAAGCTCGTCGGCATGGTCATCATGCATGTTGACGACCTTCTTGGTGCAGGTTGCATGGACAGCCCTCGCTACCGCTCAGTGGTCGAACAGCTGAAGGCCAACTTCTCGTTCAGGGAGTGGAAGGAAGATCATGACAGCCTTGAATACTGTGGCTGTGAAATCGAGAAGACTCCCGAAGGTGGCCGAAAGATCCAACAAACCAAGTACATGGAGAAGGTGATGCCCATTGCTGTGGACAAGAAGCGGTCTCCCGCTGATGGTCTTCGAGAACGCGAAGTCACACAACTTCGTGGCCAGTTAGGCTCATTGCAGTGGCCAGCAGTTCAAACTTCGCCGCATCTTCAATGCAGCGCTAGCCTGTTGTCGGGCTTCTTCGACGCGGGATTCTCCACCCGCAACGATGGCTCATCCCAAGGTGGCTACATCCTCATGCTCATCAACGGCAACCTCATGCACTCAGATGCAGTATCATGTGTTGGACTGGAAAAGCTTCAAAACACCTCGGGTGGCTAGGTCCTCGTTGGGAGCAGAAGCACAAGCTGGCGGTCAGGCCAGCGTTGCGGTAGACTTCACCTGCCGCTACTGGCACCACATCCTCGAGCCCGACATGGCTTTGGCAGACCTGCTCAACATCAGGTCGACTTTGAAGCCTGTGATGGTCACCGACGCCAAGGCACTGTATGATGCCTACTATCGTGAATCCGCAAGCTCCTCATTCATTGACAAGCGTGTGAGCCTCGAAATTCGAGTCATGAAGGAACGCCTTCAGGAGATCGATGGTGTTTTGAAATGGATGAGCAGCAACAGACAAATCGCTGATGGGCTGACAAAGGAGGCTGCACGTGTGCTCTTTGCCACTCGCCTTCGGCACCAGAAGCTGAAGCTTACCTGGGACCCCTCTACAAGGCCATGAAGAAGAAAAGTAAGGGTGAGAAGCTCAGCGCTTTGGCTGAGACCACTCTGGTGCCACCAACATCCGCACGTGTTTGGCACCAAAACTATGATGAAGACTTCATCCCTGAGACCGAGGAGGTCCAAGAGAACCCTGCAGGTGACCTCCCCGAGAGTGTCAACTTTGTCAGGGATGCCCTTGCTGTCACGTATGTGTAAGCCTCATCCCGCCATGTCGGAAGCCGCAAGGACCTTGTGATCACCGGCCGCTTGAAGAATACCCTGCTCTGGCTACTGTGTTTTGCAGCGCTTTGCACCACATGCCAAGCTACGGACACGTGTGCTGGAAACCAAGTCGCGACCTCAGAGCCGGTGAATGAAGATGGATGGCTGTTTTGCTTTTTGCTCGCGCACCTCCTAGTGATGCTTGCCACCTGCTGTGTCTGCAAGTGTTTTCACTGGACACCCATGAAGATTTTGAGCGAAGCTGGCATCGAAAAGGACGAGGCCATCATTCCGGCCAGACTCCGTGAAGCCCTGAAGGAGGAAAAGCTGAGAAGCGAGGAATACCAGCGGGTAGCCAAGGAAGCCCGCAGGTCAATGGATCTGTGTCTTGCCGAGACCAATCGGCATACTGAAGAGATCTTCGAACAGAAGACCATGCTGAGGGATGGAGCGATGCTGCTGCGCCGCGCTGAGACGGCGCTGGATGATCACATGGATGCATGCCCACACCGGGCAGCCATAGTCTCCTCACGTCAAGGGGAATGCTGGCACTTTCCCGAATGCCACGTTGTTGACCAGATGAGTGATCGCAACAGGCAAGCTCTGAGATGCTGTGCCTACTGTGGTGACAGGAGATCACCACTGGATGTCATGAGCCCAGTCCTGAGCGGAACTCTCCGTACAGAGATTCAGGCATGGTTCACTGAAGTGAATCGAATGGCTGGCTAGCCTTTCATATTTTTTACAATTTGCCTCCTGTGTGAATTACACGCTGTGTAACATGCAGTTGAGATGAAACCATACTTACACCATCCTTAGAGGGTGGGCTCAATGAGTTCAAAAGGGCGCCCCGGACGCGGCGACTCGTGTCGCCACCCAATTCGACCGCGTGCCGTTCGAACTTCGATCTTCACTTGCTTTGGCAGAGGCAGTTTCCTAGTTTGGCACCTGTGCTGGTGGACTTCGTCTGCCACTGGCATTTCTACAATCAATTTTATATTCAAACCTTTGGACAGTCTGAGCGTCCTGCTGCTTGGGAGTAGGATGCTCCAGTAGATGCACTTGCCCCCACCTGGGGACGATGCGAAAAGGCTCGCGTGGTGCTGTCGGTCTACTCAACTATAGTGTCAGTGTAATGGTTGCACCAATGGCTTCCGGTGGATCCTAGGTTGGAGGCCATCGCTAATTACTATTGTGCCTTTATCAATTAATTGCGTTTGTTAATGTTGTACTAATTACTTCAGTTATTGTTATATTGGTATTAGGTTGCCTCCAAGGTGCGTGACACATAGACACGCTGCGCCTCATTCCCGTCGACAAAAACATCCAGCTTGGCGGCGACGATCTGAGTAAGTCAAGCAGGGCACATGTGCACTCCGCAATATGGCTTTGCAAGCACATGTACCTAATCTACTAGATGATCTATCTATATGTGTATATATGCATGATACGTACGTCGTGGCGCGGTTCATGACTTTATGTGGAAAACTGTGCGTGGCAGAAAGTGAGAAGCTGACCAAGCCTCCTCGGAGATGCAGAAATGGCAGAAGCGCTTCACTGCATGTGTAAGGTAGTCATCGACCTCTCAGACTGCTTCACTGCAAGTTTCTAGGTTTCTATCTTCTCTTACCCGCATATGATAGCATGCATGGCAAATGAGAGCTGGCATGGTGTGGAACGTAGTATGCACAATTGTGATCAATTATGGTGCATGGCATATTGGCACTCGAAAAGCTGTCCTGGCAACTGGCAACCCACGATTCAATTTCAAGCCATGTCAAAGGTAGTCCCGCTTTAAATGTTTGTCAAGAGCAAGGTTGTGGGCAAATGCGTTTTCTGGACCTCAACGCCGGAGAGCAAGTGTGACTCCAACAGAATATCTTTATACATCTCCTGCGGTTTCAATCGATTCAGCTTCAAGCACCAGCTGAACAGTTTGCGTACGATACTCAAATCAGCGAACATTGAACTCTGATTCTATTCTTATTGCAATGTGAAGGCTGACACCGGTTGTGTGACAAAATAGCACGCAGGATGTCCTGTTTGTGTCCGATTGATGCCGTCTGAAAAGCTATTATAGGCTATTGTGCTTGCATGGACCCCTTGATGGTCTGACAACTGGCCGTGTTCCCCCTACAACCAAACTGACCTTGTCCGCACTGTGTGATGAATCGCAAATCATTCATTGCCGCCCCATAAGCTTGCATGACATTTAGCTCCTCGTGCAGCATGATGCGCAAACTTTCCGGAACGTCCTTCAGCACATCAATTTCCTGGTGGTGCGATGGCTTGGTGTGGTTGCACACAAGAGATCAGAAGAGTGTCACCCAGATTATGACAAGTATGCGCATGACTTCCAACACTTGCCCGCAGTACAGTACTAGTACTGCTTAAGAATTGACGTAAAAATGTGAACGGAAATGGGAAGCCAACCCTCCTTGTACGTAAGACTTTGACAGCCGGTACATTATTTAGCCGTGCTGAAAGGAACTTCGGCATCTTGCCAAATAGAGACGAGCGTAAAAAGAATGAAACAAAGGGGCTCCTTTTTTTTGCTCCTGGTGTGGTGCTTCCCCTTCCCGCGGGCACAGTTTGTCCTTCCCTAGTAGGAGACTTGTGTTGGGTAATTTGATTCTAATTAAATTCTAATTTATATATTGTTTCCTAGTAGCTTCTTGTTACTACTAGTAAGGCACTTGTTACTAGAAGCGATGCACTTGTTCCTAGTAGCTTCTTGTTCCTAGTAGCTGTTTAACGGTTTCCTGTGGCACTTTAGGAATGTCTTACTTCAGAAAGCACCGAGCCGGGAGCCGGGAACATGAAACACCCAACCCCAAATAACCTTACTCATTAGATTACCAGCATGCCGCGAGGGTCAGGAAGTAAACACCTTACTCATTAGATTTCATTAGGATAGGCCAGGGTCATTGTGCCTCTAATGAAACAGTGGGGCCCTATCAAAGCATCCTCGAATCCTGTCGCATGCACAGAGTCGGCTCAGAAGTTGAGATGCCCTCACCAAAACCGAACCATATTCTTCTACAAAGTCCGCACTGCATACTTTATCGCACATCTTGTGAGATGGTTCATATCTAAGTGGCACATTGTATCCAAATCAATTGCTCAGAATTGACATCACAAACGACACGACCGGGCCTTCTCACTGACCATGCCCGAAACACGCTTGGCTTTGCAAAACTGTCGAATGCGGCACCATAGGTCCGAGGAGACTTTCCTCGAGTCGCGGTCTGTGGAGGCAAGGCTGGCACCTGTTACTTGCTCGCGAACAGCCCACCTTGTAAATGATTTGTGACCTGCTAAGCGATGCCTGAGGGGACACCACCCACAGTTTCCCATCAACCAAAGGGAACAACAAAGAGTCCAGTGCTTACACATATGACCGAGGCAGGTTGATTAGGCAGGAATGTCTAGCACCTCTTGAGCAAACAAAACAAACTTGCGAGCAACTGTCATGAGACCCGAATACAACCATCATGGTGAACTCAATAGTTGGGCAGCTCCCAATCCAGGTCGAACTTACAATTTGCGCATATTTGCGCCCATCCTCGCGGTGAGAAACAAGGAGCTAAGCCAACTGCCCAAGCAGAAATACAGCTGGCCTGTTGGGGTCGAAAGTCTTAGAATGTCTTATACCATGGCACTATGTGACACTCTAGGGCCTTTTTTGCCCTGATGCAAATTAAACGATCATGTAGAGCCGTAGGGCACGTTGTTTCAGCTTGGTCGCGTCCAGGTGGTTGTATTGGTTGGGTCATCAACTCGCCAATAGTAGGGTCTGCCGCTATTCCGATCCACAGTGGACTGCCAGCCGCTGGGCAGCCCAAGTGGCTCTGGCGCTAGCTTCTCAGGTGGCAGCGATGATGCCCCCTGCACTGGTTGGAGCTGCCGATAATAATTGGAGATGGCTCGTCGGAGAGAGGGTACCCTTTGGGCCTGCTCGGAGTCGATGCTGCAGCCTCTGATGCTCAAACTGGAAGGGGCGCGCATGGGCGCACCGTGTTCATGCAACACCAAGCATAAATTGGAATTAACATTTATTACAATTAGAATTATGTAATTACCACAGTAGTAGCAACTATAATTACTATACTATACTTAAGAAAAAACACTACACTACGTTACAAAATGAAAGAAATGTTGAAGTGACTACCAGCAGCCACATCGGTCCATTTCTTGCAGCACCCAGTCTCTTGCACCTGTGTCTTCGTCGATCACAGCTGACCGAAGCAGGATGGCTAAAGTCTCCTCTGGTGGCTCTTGCGGGCATATCTGCTTCATCTCTTCATAAAGTTGCCTCTATGGCAAACCAAAGGCCACTTCTAAACAAATGGGGCGGCTACCGTGGCTGCATTGCACTGACTGGAAAGATTTTTAGATAAGGTCACCTCATAAACGGGGATACACAATTTGAACGATCTCGGAGACGCTTACGCAGTCTTCCGACATACAGTGCCCAAAGCAACAAAACTCATAATCATCTTACTGTGCCACTTCAAGCTTGCTGCTACGCCTCCCTTGCCTATTCCCAAAATTGCTTCAAGGATGGAGGAACTTCCTACTGCAACTCAAAAACCAAAAGTCCAAAATCTGCCAAATTCGCTGCGAGGCTGTTGCCTCTGGAAGTCTCCGCGGTGGGTTAAGATCAAAACCCGCCAGTCAGGTGGTGAAAGTGTGAAGCCGTCCGCTCTCATCATCTTAACCACCTCATTAGCCTTGGTCCGCAAAGGCTGGGGCACAAAAAGGAGTTTTGCCATAATTTGGGAGTTGCAACACTTTGCAACCGTCCAGCCTATTGGGGCCGAAAGGCGTTCATTCTAAGTTTGGTCGCTTGACGCGCCGCCTCCTCCACACTCCACAGAAGCTTGGAAAGAACTTCATCTGCCTCAATGAAGGAGTGAAGTGAGAAGTGAAAAGGTTGAGCTGCAGCCAAACGACACCTTCTACATCAGTACCACAGGCAACGAGCATTGCATTGTAGTGGCTTCCTTAACTACAGTTTGTGAATCTAACTTGAGGAAACCAAGCACTGTGCCGCGCAGTCTAGCAAGCACACAACATTCACTACAGTTGCTTTACAAGGCCAAGCCAAAACCATGAAGGGGAATACGGTAAGCTCTGTTTAGGTCAGCATAGCTCCAGGCCAGCTGCACATCCAAGGGTCTTGTAACCTCTGCCGAAGGATTCGCCTTCATCTCTTCCAGAAGTTTGGCCACGGTGTCTTTTTCTCGCGCGCGGGCACAGGCTGTCATCGCGAGCAAATAAGGCACATTTGTTGAATGCTGCCCTTCAGATGTCGTCTTCAGCTCGCTCAGTATATCTAACGCCTTTTGCCAGTCAGACGACTCCTTGCATGCAGAAAGAATGATACATGATGTAATCGAAGAACGTGGCACTTCCTCTTCGTCCATTTGTTGCAAATATCTTTCAAACTCACGAGTTTGCCGAAGCTTGGCCAGCATCTGCAACATCATGTTGTATGCAATCGTGTCGCGGATTGGCAGGCGTCGGAACATCATATGCGCCTCTCGATACTGCAAGGTCTTACAAAAGAAATGCACAATACTTCTGAGCACTGGCTGCCACTCTTCTCCTGCATCGCCTGGGATCTCTTGACACAACTTTTGCACACCTGCGGTGTCCTGATTGTCCATGCAATTCCAAACAATTCTTTGCATAGCTCTCTGCTCTTCTGTCATGTTTGGATCTGGCAGCTTGTTCCTTGGCAATGGATCCAATCGCTCTAGGACCAAGGACCTGTTGTTTCTCCGGTAAAGCTTGTCCTGGCAGGCTGCCACATGTTCCCACTATTGAGCAAGTATATTAGAATAGTTATTAGAATATTGGTCCCGAACAGGACGAGGTTCCCCCATAGAACTTGGGAGGCTTCCCCATCCTACCTCTCGCTCTCGCTTTCCCACCTCTCTTCTACCTCCCTATTTTGTGTGCCTACCAACGGCAAAGCAGGAAATGGAAAGCGTGCTCCCATCTCCTCTGCATAGTATGGCAGTGAGGCGTTGCAGCGACAGCAACTGGTGGCCAAGCGCCTTGTCCAAAACTCGGTACAGCCGCGATATAGGAGCATCCTGGCGTTCTTGATGCTAACTTTGGCTGCCTTCTGAGCCGAGATGGTTGATTCATCATGTCTGTGGCATTCTATGGCAGTTCCATGGGTCATAGTCATAGAGTCATAGGGCTGACCACAATGACGGTTCTGACATGTGCCAATTCAGAAAGGAAGAAACAAATAAAAACGTGCGTGCACAGCAATGATGCCAAGCAATGTTGCTGCAGCTTAAAAACATGGGCTCGGACATGCCTGATACTGTGCAGTCAGGCATCTTCTCTCCGAGAAACTTGCGGATTTGGGCTTCCTGCCTTGCACTCTTCAACCTCATTGCATGCTCTTTTTGTTTCGCATCCAGCTGATGCACATTCAATCAAAGTAGGAGTTCATCATAAACTATCAAATGGCTTGCATGTAAAGAAGTGTCACAGCTGTGGTGAACTCGTAGGCACCCGCCGGACTATTGCATGCAAGCAGCGAGTATGCTCTCAGCTCATTGGTAGCATTGGTCATCGCACTCACAAAAGAGGAGAACGCCACAAAGGCATAAATGACCTAACCAACACCATAGGCATACAAATGATGTTGGTGACTTTGATTGGTTCAAGGGAAGAATCTGAAATGTCGAAGAGTTCCCAGTGACTCAGGCCCGAAAAAGGCTATGGGGGTTGCTTGCATGTGCGCACTATGCCAGCCAAAAGATGATATTGCATCGCACTAAAATGTCAAGACCGCACCACAAGTCCTCAAGGCAACTCTAGATTCCAACTCTAGAAAACCCTCTTACATAATATCTGCTCAACTGCACACACTATGACTCCGTTCGTGACTAATTAATCTTTCAATAGCACTTCTACAGCACCCATGCCAATCACAAGCACAAATCCCGACGGGATCTTTGACAGCGTCTGCGCGGCACCCCACCCATTTCAGCGGCCAGGACGCCACAGGATCAATGACATGCTAGTTTAAAGGCAAACCGACAGGCAACATTTCAGCAAATATATAGCCCTCCAGTGTCAAATGCATATGGATAGGCTATTCTTCAGCAAATGAGCAAACACGGCCATATCATGCCATATCCTACTGGCTTGCTGTCATTGTTGAATTTTAGATTGTTGATATTGTTGACAGTTTCCTGGGATATGTTTGGTTCATGAAAAAATGCCGTGCGTGTGTGTGTTGTCACATGACGGGTAGAACAAAAACAAACTAAAAAATACTATGTCCTTGGAACAATACGAACTTTGCACTCCAGTGTCTAGGGCGGGCACCAAACCAACACCTCCTTGCACAAGAAAACATAACGGGAGCGAGACTTGGACGAGAATCATTGGATTAGGACTGCCACAGCCGAGGTACGATCAAGCTCGCAAATGCCCTCTCAATGGGATTCCTAGGATGGCAACTAAGCATGGATTCTGATGCTGGTGTCTGAACACAACTGCTACAAGCAGAGTGGAAGTGTGTCATCAATGCAAAAACCTACCCGAACAAGTCATGCCACACTGCGACAAAGAGTCTGGGGGGCAATGTTGTTGGTGGCAGGCGCAAATTGAGTCAAACTCCAGTGGAAGCTGAGCAGGTACTGGGTCATAGCATCCTTGCCGGACATGATGGGATGTTGCCACACAAGAAAGCTGCTCACATACCCCCTCCAATTTCCAATGCTGATAAGGAGGAGACCCCTGGAAGGACTTCTTTCCACCCTCAAGCCCTGTGCTGCGCCAAGTTAAGTTTCCCAAAAATCTAGAAACCAAATGAAGAGTGCGAGCGCTTCTTCAAAGAAGCTCCCCGTAAACAAAGAAACAACTTTGCCGCAAAGGGTCCGAGTTCTTGATCTCGTAGGCATTGACCCAAGTGTCTGTTCTTTCCATCGAGTCGCTCACAGCAAACCATGCACAAGCGATGTAATGATTCCTTGGTTTACGGTGGAGTTGTGAGATGTGATTGTGCTGGCATAACGCGCTCTTGAATAAAGCGCTTTATAGTCACAGCTCGCCAATGCTCTTTGGGACACTAATCGCCACGAATAGTATCGTTGAAGCCGTGCTTGAACATTTTAGAATACAACCTAGTAGCGTTCTTGTTTCTAGTAGTAAGGCCAGGAGCTGCTAGTAGCGTCCTTGCTCCTAGCAGCGGTGTCCTTTGCTCCTAGTAGCGTTTTTGCTCCTAGTCAGGGAGGGCAAGAAGCTACTAGTAACAAGTGCATCGCAAGTGCCTTACTAGTAGTAACAAGAAGCTACTAGTAACAAGTGCATCGCTTCTAGTAACAAGTGCCTTACTAGTAGTACCAAGAAGCTACTAGGAACAAGTGCATCGCTACTAGTAACAAGTGCTTTACTAGTAGTAACAAGATGCTACTAGTAACAAGTGCACCGCTTCTAGTAACAAGTGCCTTACTAGTAGTAACAAGAAGCTACTAGTAA